GGAGGCTGTTTATATCCTCACGGATCTGTTCACGAGTTCGCGGCGGTTTCATCGGCAAGTACATGTAGAGTTGTGGCCAGTCATGCAGCACCCTGCCTGCGACATACTGACAGGCCTCCTGTAGACTGCCGCTCTTGGCTGAAAGTAAAACAAACACGGGGTTGTAAGGAGGGAGGATGGTGTTTTGGTTGGGGAAGAAATGTAAACGTGTGAAGTAAACCAGTTCCATACCCCTACTGAAATTCCACCTTCCTCGTAAGATTAATTTTTTTTAGATGGAAGTGAGTGGTAAACTGTCAGTGTGCGGAAAACCTTCGTACAATACACCTGCTATGCAAGGACCTGCAATCTCCAGTCATAACTGGCAAGGTCATTTGGTTCTGTGAATTTCCTCTGTGAGTCCTCAGTCTATTAACAAGTGCAATGGCCTGCCCAATCCATATTCGGTGCTGAGACTTAGTTTGGCCAAAGCAATCAGCCAAACAGGGAGTTGTTTATTAGAATAGCTATGCAGTAACATAGTGACTGCCTCCTATAAATACAACTCCCCGTGTACGGATTATTCGTATCTGCTGCTGCTGTCTCTGAAGATGGGTTCGTGCCGGAGTCCGAAACGGCAGGCAACTAAAACTCTTTTTCCGGCGATCGCGTCTGCTGTTTCCCAATTACTTCCCGGGGGCTAATATCGGCTTACGAACTGAGTGCCTTTCATGTCGGTCTCCGGCCCTTTGTTGCTACAAATTGTGGAAGCAGCAATTGGGGATACGAGAGCAGACAGTCGTCCCTACGGCAGCTAGGCAGTGAAACGGGCCGTTTTGAAAAACTGATTTAGATATTAGAATGCACATCGCTGATCTGAACCCATTCCAACTGCGTCGTTCAGCGAAACACTATGGGCGAAGCATGCATGTTTAGGTTTAGAGTAATTGCCTATGCTGCAAGTATGGTGAATAATTCAGCAAATGAATTTTTATGTAAGTAGGCGAACGAAAGCCCACCTTTCTGGAAAACTGGGTTGTGCATCAGACGCCCCAGTGTCTGAGGATGAATGGTCAAAAGAGTTCATCAAATAATCAGACACAACGAAATGATGCATTAATAAATTCTGATTCTGCTGCACTTAACTTGACGGGGAACAGTAAATAATATACTATTAGTAAGGCTGGATTGTTCGTATTTTCGTTAACCCTATATTCATCCAAAATGGTACAAAAGTTCCCAATACGACGCAACGCCTTTGGAGCGGAATTTAGGGCCAAATTTATGACCTCATTCCAAATGATACATACATCCTCTCCAAGAGTTGCCATGGAGATTGGATTGACAGGCGGTACTTAAATTGGTTGTATGGAAATTCATATTGTTTCGGGAAAAGTAGAACAACAATAAATTGGCTATTGAGAAACGGGGGATAGAGCAGGCCTTTTTATTTGCCTGAGAGTCCGGACTCATGTGGAAAGCCATAATCAGAAGCGTCCACATACAAAGGTAGAGAGCACACAAAAGGTTCCCTATCAATAGGATGCAGCTGCTACTATATCCTTAGCCATATTATCAGCTCATGCAAGTGCTCGTACTTCCATCACCGGTTTTGTTTGTCAGAGAGACAATACTTAAACAATCCGACCACCGATATTGCTATCGGATAGAGTATGCGCCCGTGTACTTAGTTATTCTTACTAGAAAAGTTTTTAAGACTGACTAGGAGGGAGGAGTGAGGTCATTGTGCTTGGTGTGTGTGTGTGTGTGTCTGACCATCGGTTTCGATTATATCAACCAAGTGCACCAACAGGTTGGTACAAGAGGTGACGGCCTCAGGGCTTAGTTTTAAGTGATAGGGACGTAGTTAGCGGCTCCGCACTCTTCACCTTCTCCCATGAGTCTCGAAGAGACTAGACGAGGTCCGGCGCGGCTGCTGCATCAAATGCAAGCCAATACACCGCCTAATTTAGTCTTAAAGTGACAGTAGACTTTGCGCGGGTGCTACTGTGCTATCTATCTTCACTCACCTATAGTAGGTGTCGGGCCAGACTTAGGTAGACTGGTACTGCTTACTTATAATACTACGTACTAGGGTGTAACTTAGTGAT